ATATTGTCTTAACTCTCCCCATTAGATTGTTGGGAGTGGATGATCCTTGTTTAAGATAAAATCTGGTAATGTTAGTTTTAATTAAAACAGGATCAGCAGGATAACTGTTGTCATGGTTACGGCACGACGGGTGTCATTTCGTTTCTTTTGTGATTTACATTTCTGGTGCCAAGTTTAAAGAACACTGCTTTAATATTTCTAGAGATATTCTTGATTGAGTGTTGAACTGTTTTAGTGGAACCACCTATGAGGTCCTCACATCACAACGTGAAAAGATATTCCAAAAAGGAAAACGCCATTCTTCTTTACTTTGAAAAGCCTTTCAAATCAGCAGCAATTATTTTTTACTTCATAGGCACTTTAAAGCAAACGATAACGACATGGACCAAGAGATTGACTACAAAATCTATTGCTGTAAATCCTAAACGTTTTTGTTTCTGTTTGGTGGTGATGAATATTTTTGTTTCTGTTTGATTTTTACCTAAATTTTTATCCTTTCACATTTACCTAAAATACTAAAGTTCACGTGCTAAATTGACGTCAGTTTTTCATGCGTCTGTCCTGTTATTGATCATGAATTTCGTCATAACACTGTGGAGTGGATCCGCAGACAACTTTGACAATGTTATGACGAAATTCATTGTTAATAACAGGACAGACGCATTCAAAAATGACATCAATTTGTTTTTTACTGTTAATAACAAATTGCCAAATTGTCCGCTCTCGCTCGTTGACGCATCGCATAAATTATAAATTCCTGTGTCTGTCCGCTTATCGATAATGAAAATTAACCAATGAGCGCGCGAGAATTTCTGCAGTTTTCGTAGAAAGAATTATTGAAGCACCAACTTACAAAGTTTCATCACTCAGCTGTTCTTTGGTATAGTTCATTGGGTGGTTAATTGTGTTAATACCTGCAAAAATGACAACAAAAAGTAAAATTAGCTTCGAATTTAGCCCACATGTTTCAGGTTCTCAAGAATGGGTAAGCATTCTTTTTTGTACCACGATATAGTCACCAGTAATGAAGATCGTATTTCTTGACTGTTTACTAGAGGACTTCATCAAGCGATGAGGTCAACTGCTCACGTGTTACCAGATGTAGCCTCGTAGCCAGCTACAAAGGCGGAATTCGATCCTAGCTGCTCGGCTCGATGTCTTCACTTCCTCGTTCGCAATCCACCTCAATCTTCACCAAACTAAACCATCCATGTTTCTTTTTGGTTTAATATAATTTCTTTGGTGTTTTTCTATCTTAGTATTCCATCATTTTGAGATTTCATTCAGTTTAAAGTTAGTTTCCACATTGCAAACTTGACTTGTTATGTCGTGACTAACATCGTTACCCGTGACAGTAAAGGTAACGCCAAGACTAACATATAACCGTCAGTGACTTACCAAACTGTGACGCGTTTAACCCTTTCTCTGCAGCCTTGCTTCTCAGGATTACATTGTTCAGAATGTTTAAGAACGTTGGAGCAGCGTGATACCCTTTGGTGTTGTACCAGGCCTGAAACAAGGAAAGCAATTCAATGAAATTAGCTCATGGAACACTTTCAAATGCAGAAACGATGGCCATGTTGTCTTCATTTACAGATTTAAGACACTTAACCTTCAATTTGACAAAGAATACTTTATAAAAGTAATTCAGAAGTCAAAATAGCAGTTTCCGCCATCGATGGTACAACTCGCTTGCCACTGGTTGCCAATCATTTGTTAAGCACTGTTCTCTTGATGGGTTTCCTGTGACACGGAATCGACGCTATCTTGTTGGGTTACCTGTGGCGAAGGCAAGCTCCAACAGTTTCATGCATACGAATAAATGGCAGTATGGCCGTGTGACGGTCACTTTATTGGACAAGGAGGGACAACAAAAGAGCAAGCTTCACATTTACCATCATGATTTCCTTCAAATCGTAAATCTGTCTGTTTACAGTTCTAGAGTACATTACCTTTGCATTGTGTTCCTTGATAAGTCCACTGAGGCTTGTCATATTTGACTGATTAAACGAGCTTGGAAGATTCTTAAAGTTGTCTCCAAAGGTTACACCGCCATACCTAACCACAGGGGCAGATTGTCCTCATTTTAGATGGACAGAAGAAATTTATGACATGAAAAGACACTGACAATGGCGTGGACAATTTCTAAATGCGCTCGTCTTAGCATCAGGTCGCAAAGAAACCAGGGGATTGAAGTAAAGAAAAAACTTGGTCAAGAAAGTGTGGCGACGCTAAACAACAGAGGAGGGAAACCTCCCTCTACTAGACTCCCCTCCTCATATCTTTCCCAACTCCACCCCCCTCCTCATTTTTAAATTCTCTTCTGTCCCAATAGACCTTTTTAGCTCGGGCGGTTTGTTTTCCCATTACAAACCACGTGATATTCTATAGAGAATTGTTCTTTTATCCATCTAGCAATTATTCCTTCATATATATACGCGCGACTATTTGAAAATTTGAAAGCAAGAATTCTCGAGAGTGTCATCACATGATCTGAAATGGGGCAACAAACCACCCAAGCTAAAAAAGTCAACTCCCCTCGCTCCAACTTGATCACCAAACCACAGCGTCGGCTTGAAACATGGAGTCACCGTTAACCATCCAGGTGCCCATAACATTCAGCAACTCCTCTTTGAACGGGATACAACGTAAGGAAGGTTTCAGGCCTCATAACATAAACCCCTGAATATTCCTTCTACCTACCTCTTCCTGATAAACCTCCCATACGTCTTCAGAAGATAGTCGGTCATATTGCGCCCAGTCAAGTTCTGTAGCTTGTCACCCGTGAACGATTGCCACTGCGAGGGCTTGGGACCACCTGCGCCCGCGGGACACTTGGCGGTTCCAGTTGATTGACAGTCGCATTGCAACGTACTAACTGGCTCTGTAGGATTGCTGGAGAAGTTAACTGGTTTTCTTGGACAGGTGTTTTCCAAACAAGACGTTCCTACCGCGTAGAAAGACAACGTAAATAAATAACAAAAATACACGTGTAGATTGATATGTTGACGAATCTTTTTTTACTTTACCTCACTTATGACTTGCGTGGAGAAAGCATCGTGCTATGCAGCAATAGACATAAACATCTTATGACCTTGTTCGTTGGTTCGTTCGTTAGCTAGTTAGTTAGTTTGTTAACATATTTAGGTCTTTTGCTTCTAGTATTGAAGGAGTCACTGGCTTTCAAAAACTGCAAAATTACTGGGTAGCGAGAGGGTTAATAAGTCCAGAAAATTCTAGGTAAATCTTTATCAGCTTTTAAAGCCGCGTTAGACAAAAAGTATTTAATACATCGGGCTGAAATTTCCAGGGACAGTTAATCGTACCATGCTTTTCCAGTATTCAGAGTTCATATTTTTGTGGCTCGATCAGACTGAATCACCTATTGCTACTTAAAGAGTATTCTATGAAAAGAGCGCTAGATCGCAGTTAAATCGAACATACCACAACTCGTAACTTTCTGACGCATTCAAGAGTAGAAAAGGAAAGCGATTCTAACTCCGAACAACAACATGATCTGCTTACCAACTCCGGGATAACGCACCAAACTGTCAGTCATGTCCTTCGTCATGAAAGTTCGCCGATCACCATCCTCAGCGAATGCTACGTAATGCTCATGTGGGTCGACTTTCAGAAACATGTCCGTGTTCAGTTCTAGTGCAGGCATTTCACTAAAAGGTCTGATCTGCGACACAATCATGGCTAGGCACACGAAGATAGCTGGTAACAGGATCTGAAAAAAGGAACCAAATTCAATTACAAAGTTCTGAAATCGTTTTTCCTTTTTTGTTGTTGTTTTTTTCCGTCTTCGCTCTCCATCACTTCTAGAACAAAGGCACCAAATTGTAAGGACTACAAAAAGCAATGTACCTTCATTCAGAAACTCCAGCCAAAAAAGCCGCTTATTTTTGACTTTTTACCATTTGAGCAAACAGCAAATTTCAAGAGTAATCGTATCTATAACAAAATTCTCGATCGTGATTGGTTCTGCACACGCCTGTTTGTCTGGTAATCGGCGCGCTATCACGTGGGTATCCAATTACATAATCTCAGAGTGACCTCTGATATTTGTTAGGTAGGGCGGGTGTGACAATATTTTAGGTGGACGCCATTTTGAGCCTTGCTGCGCATGCGTCTCCCCATGCGTTCCAAGAGGCCCGGGCGCTAGTTAACTTGTATCCAAACTCCCAAGTTTTTGGAGTAGCGATATTAAATCTTACAGCCCATTTGCTCGACGAAATGCCACATGGAGATTAACAAGAATGTTTTACCTGTGAGATGAAAGCTTTCCTGTTGCGTCTGAGATGATGGAATCGTTTCACAATCAGTGCCCAGAACTGGCCTTTGAGAAGTTTTATACCTTCCAGCTGCTTATCTGCATCGTAACCTCCATCCGTACTTTCAAAAACTGGTGAAGGTATGTCTTCCAATTCTTGATCTTCAAGAAATGAAAACAAAATTTGTTTATATCAATTTCGAAACCTAAAGTTCAAAACCACCACACTGTAAGAAGTGCCATCTGATGGTATTTTAACTTCATTTTCAATAGGCCATTTCCAAGTTGCTTTTTCCCTTTGTTTCAAAACAAGTTCTGAAGCACAACCTCAGTTTCATATGGAAATCAGTTTGATTTGTAAGACAATGAACGTGCAAGAAACACTCATTTCAATATGAAAGGTTGTGAACCAAGACTCATTTTGAAACAGAGGTAAAAGCAACCCGGAAATGGCCTATTATGATGGACTTTGGCTGCCTTGTTTTGCCAGTCGAGAAGACAACGTGTTTAACAGCAAAATGTGAGAGAGAAAGATATATAAAACTAGCAAAAATGATAATGGCATAAGTGAAACTCGCTCGTTCTTAGTCTTCGCTTATGAGAAAACTCTGAGACGAAGAGGATCATGGGCAGTAGTCCCATCATCCCTTGCTTCCTACATCTTTCTCAAGAGGGAAGGCTGGACGCGAGTCGGTAAATGAAGCGCGACTGCGGCCCGTCTTACCGTCATCAATTTCTTCAGTTGTGTTTGCCAGCAGCTGATCTCTGTCTGTGAAGCTGTCGCTTATTCTTGAACTACGACTCAGCTGAGTGCGGAAACTGGGTCGGCGTTTAGGCATCTCGGCAGCAAGCATGTCTGGTCATTTTATGGAAAACAAAACATGTCAAAAAATATAAAGGAATGAGCTTAAAAATCATACAGAAAGCTTATGCTTATGTCAAATGAGGACATAAACGAACGATACACGCATATACATTAGCAAAGGTAAGTTCAGTGTAAGCGCAAAAGGCTATTAAAAAAAAAAAAAAAACAGTCTCCTCCAAGCTTGTGCTTGTGTTTCTGTTGAAACTCTTACAAGCTCCCCGCATTTTGATCCAGCATTGCGAGACTTTGCTGCGAAATGTTGTGGCCAACTAATGCAACATGTTTGCCTACAAACAGCGATGACAATAATTATCATAACAACGGACGTACGGGCTGTTTTTCAACTTGAAAAACTGAACCAATTTTTAACTGTACCTTCCTCCTCAGCGTTCGCTACTTCAGCAACTTTCAAGAAAACCTGCAAATCAAAAATAGTCAGCCAACACAGGTGAGACACTGGCTGTTATCACACGATTGAGGTAGCTATAAGAGCCAATGGCTAAAATCAGCTACGTGGGCGTGCACAATGGCCTAGCTCGCAAAACGTCTCTCTGAAGTTCAACAGCGATAAGTTCCCTCCTAAATGAAAGCCATTATGACCATTGTGGGTCTAGATCTATGGTGATTAAATGATAGCTGAGAAATGTTCAAAATTTTCACTGTCAACTGAGAATTGACGTGTTTCTAACCGAGCAGTTAAGATCCGAGACCTGTGCAACCTACTTATGGATGAGATTGGGACTGAAATTTGAAATGACAGCTGAATAAACAACCTAGAATTCAACTCAAGGCCCCGTACACACTACGCCGGAGACATTTGAAAACGGCACTTTTACTCTGAAAACCCATCAAATGTTTTCCGTCCACACTACGCCGGAGGAATTTCAAAACGCAACAATCACCAGCCATTTTGGATTTGTGTTTGAGGAAAACGCGGCCAGGAAAATCACTTGATTATCGTGTTACAATTGTTTTCGAAAAACCCCGTTTTCAAAATGTTTTCCGTCCATATTAAAACGCAAAACCAGCGTTTTCAAATTCCTCCGGTTTGAAGAGCGTTTTCGAAAAGCTCCGTTTTCGTGACGGATTAGTGTGGACGGTAGGCCTAAACGTAGAAATAAAGCTGCGTTTTCAAATTTCTCCGCCGTAGTGTGGACAGGACCTAAAACGGAAAGATTTCAGCAAAGCCACCCAGATCCGCTATGTGAAACGTGGCTTAAAATATTGTACCTCTTCAAGAGTGGTGTCTGACACTCCATAACTACCAATATGCAGTTTGTCCAGGTTCTTATCCAGTTCCTCAAACAGATCCTGGAAGCGTCCCTCCTTGGCCATCTCAGCTGGTAGAACGTACGTTAACTCGGACCCAATGTTCTCGACCAACTGAGCCGAGGGAAGGTAAGACTTAATGAAGGAAGTGACCAGCGACTCATTGCAAAAGACTTCTGTGTCCTGCAGAGTGGGGTCTGAGTTAGAAGTCCCTGGCATGGAACTGAGGCTTTCTAGTTCGGATGCATCAAGCGAATCCATACCCACACCTGAGGGGAACGTATCAAAGTGCGTCAAAATTTGTTTAAAATTCAATAAATGCTTACGACAAAAATGCTAGAAACACAAATGGATGGAACATCAGAAAGAGAACAGCAAACTTTGTAGGCAAGTAACATGAATCGGCTTAGAGATAAGATTTTCACTCCTTTTTTAGATAATTTATTTTCCGTTCGCATGATATGAGCAATATGTTTTACCTTTGACTTGTAGATCTAAATCTGTTGTACATTGTGATTTTTAATTAGGTTTTAAATAAATTCTAAATTACGTTACAAATTAAAATAGGTTTTATTTAAATTGTAACAATGTTTATAGAGAGCCACAAGTTCATTAGTTTTTTAACTATTGTCACCCTCTTTAAATAAATTTTGATTGATTGATTGATTGATTGATTGATTGATTGATTGATTGATTGATTAATAGCCAAACCTCGGAAGTACAAATACGTTTTCACGTTGTTTGTATAATAAATTTACCTTCATCAAGGGAGCTTCCCATTGAAGGTACCGAAGGAATCAGGGTTCCTACATTAACATCTTTCAGGGTCCGAGCAGTGCCGGGCCTCTCTTCGGGGGCCTTCTTGGTGAGCGTCACGTAGTACCCATTGCCATAATGTCCCTTGAGGAACAAAGACGAGCCACAGCATTGAAGCTTTCCTTGAGAAATAATGGCGATTCTGTCTCCAAGGATATCAGCTTCGTCCATGTGGTGAGTGGAGAGCAACACTGTGCGACCTGAGGCAAAATGAAAATGAAATGTTAAACAAGGTAATGATGAAATATGAGTGCTCTTATGTCTATGAGTAAACTCGAGAATTTCGCAGTGAATGATGGCTAATATGAGGAAACCTTTGCGTAACGCGAAATTACTCTTTTCTTGAAAAACACTGTTGTTTAAAACTGGGAGAGTTACAAAACACAATAACCAAAGCTCCTTTAACTAAAAATAATGATTCTGACAGTAAACTTTCGCAAAGATCTTTTCTCCGGAATTCATGCCCACAGCAGAAAGGTTATTTAAAAACTGTTTACGAACGCTATAAGACAATGTTGACAGATCTATATAAGCCAACCTTTACGTGACTTGAATTGAACCTTTCCTGGTATGCTTCGCAGCATCTATTTCACCGTTGCTTGACGCACGTCCGAACGTATCACGTTGTCCTTGAGATGTCCGACAAACGATATATACGCCCGCAAAACAACGGAATTGCGAAAAGTTAACAGATGATCGATCAACCCCTTATTTGCATAACCTGAAGCCCGCTACAGCCCGTAACTTGCTTACGCCACTCACGAGTTAAAAATGATGAAGAAATCAAACGGGGAAAGGAGATTTGACAAACCTCACGTTAGTCATGATCAAAGAAATATTCATTACAAATTAGTCCGTACCGCTTTTGTAGTGGAGGAGCAGATCCCAGATTCCTCTCCGAGCGAATGGGTCCACACCAGCCGTGGGCTCATCCAGGATAACCACTTTGGAGCCTGCTACAAATGCCAAAGCTACAGAGAGCTTTCGTTTCATACCTCCAGAGAGACACCTAGCTAATTCGTCACGTTTGTTTTCAAGGCCAACGTCCTTCAAGAACCTAAATGGAGCCAGCTATTTGTTAGCAAATCTAATTTAACCACATCTGATGGATCCAGCAGCTAAATCAACTATGCATATTGATTCAAAATCAAGTATGGAAGTCAGGAGAATAAAAAGGTGATCACTGAGCAGAAACGGTCTTAATGTTTATCCAATATTCTCCCAACCACTACTATAAGAAATTAGGCCGACCATTAAGGAGAATTTGAATGTAGAGACATTGACAACCACAACGCTTTCAAGAAACATTTAGTTGCCTCTAAGGAGCTCAGCTCGGTATTTTGAGTTATTTTGGTCACGTAGAAAATTACCTCTAAACTGAAGGACACCTATAGTTTACTAAGATGGAAGAACACCAAAAAGATAACAAACCGTAAAGGAACAAGGATGGTTAAGGATGGAGAAGATAAACACGGATTACAAACGACGAACTTGAAAAATTTAGGCGTCAGCTACAGGTATTTAACTCCGAATTTTGATTGGGTAACTGGATCATCCATGTTTTTGGTGATTAGCCTTAGTGATGGTCATAACAGCCTCGATCGAAAACCACTGTAACTTTGTTTTTGTTGTCATTCTAGCATAAAGACAGCCTGTGAAACCTAGACAAAGCTAGGAAATATTGACAACTGTAATATCTGCAGTTACCTCTCAATTTCATCCGGGATATCAGCCTTGGCCATCCCCTTAAGAGACGCATAGAACCACAAATGCTCACTCACAGTCAACCCACTAAACAGCACATTGTACTGTGGGCAGATTCCGAGGCTTTTTCGGACCAAATCGATATCTTTTCGGATGTCGTGACCGTTGATGATGGCGGTACCAGATGTGGGTGGAAACAGGCCTGTTAATACCGACATTGTGGTGGTTTTGCCCGCGCCGTTGTGACCCAGAAATGAAGTGATTTGACCTTGATACAGATTTAGATTCAAACCATCTACAGCGAGTTTGTTGCCGTCTTTGTAAATCTGACGGTGAACAGAACAAACCAGAGGCGTAAGGAGATAACCTTGAAAGTGTGCATAATACAGAAACAAACTTGTACAATAACATGAAGGTTATCAGAGTAACAATCAATCTGACAAATGAATATTAACACAGCAGACTAGCGAACAACTCAACGCTAGTATTTGGCTTGGTGCCTTGTCACGTATGCAGAGTTTGAAACGTAGTCTGCATAATGTTTGTGAGAGAAAGTTGCAAAAATACAACGCAACAAAACTTGTGGACAACGTATCGCTTCTTCAATAAATGCCTTAATTTTTGGCCTTAGAAAAAGACCCAGAATGTTCACTCAAGTGTGGCGACTTATTGAACGATGACAATGTTAACAAGTTTCCGCGTGGATGGGAGGGAAAGTCTTGCTTACCTTGACCAGCCTCTTAATTGAGCATCCCAAGGGGAGATGGGTGGGCTCTTTTTCTGTCACACATCCCCTCTCAAAGTCCTGGAAGGCAACTTCATCCATACCACCGGTCTTAGAAAAAAAAATTACAACAGAAACAATTTAGGCCCCTAACTCACTAATGTACAATTGCATGAACCTCATAACCGTTTCTCATTTCTACTTCAAAAAACAAAAAAACAACAACTTAACCCCTGCATTAGATCCTATATAAATCCCGTAATCTTTTACTTACTTTCTTTTTTTGTTTACCGCAATAGACAATAACTACCATCTTTATTTCACATACCCAGCCCCTGTAGGAAGCACCTCCGCGCCCTGCAGTGTGGGGTCTCTGGTCACTACTCGCTGCATCCACCTCCAGGACCCTTTTGTTTGCAACTTCAAACCAGTATGACTTCTGGAAAGGGAAGTACCAGGGCCGTGGGATGCCATACTGACCTGCGAACAATGAAAACAGCAGAAAACGTATTTAATGGCAAGTACAAAGGGAAAATATGGGAATTGTTGAGAAATGGTGTCCACAGCAGTGAGCCCAAATTGAACATTGTTTTCTGAAGTAAGAGTACACGCGAGTAACAGTAGGTATGCCACAAAAGTTATAGCACACTTTATAAACTGAAGAAAAGTGACTTGCAAGGCTTGTGGACATTCCGGGACCATTAAATGCACGTTTGTTGCTGTTTCAGCCGTACCTTAAAGGAGCTTAGTGACGGTATTTTAGGTTATTTGGGCTACGTTCAAAATTACCTTTAAATTGAAGGAAAGCTGAAAATAATAAGACAGCGTCACACCAAAGAGATACTTTTAAACCATAAAAGAACAAGGATGGAGAAGATTAACACGGATTATAAACGACACTAGAAACACTGCCATCAAAGTCGTTAAACCCAGTGAGTTGTCAGTAAACCTACATAAATCGTACCTGGCATAATAGCTTCGATATACCATGTAAGGATACCGTAAATGACAGCGTCAATCATCATCATAACCATAGCATAACCCAAACTAAACCCATCACCTGCCACAGGACTAGAAAACAGGTTTGACCACTGGGCACCAACCCCCTGCTCTTCATACCGGGCCAAATAACTGCAGGAGAGACCAAACGAGGTCGTGGACAGCAAACTCTAGAACAACAAAGCATAAAACTTCATTTGCTTTCTGTTTGGGAAACCAGTTTTTCATGACTTGCTCATAAGTAGTATAGTACATTTACCTGGTTTAGGGTAGAGAGATTTTCACCTGAAAGTCGAAACGTAATTGGTTTTGCGTTACTATGCTTAACGATTGGCTTAAAAAACTCGCGCCACTTTTTCATCCAATCATATGTAAAACCAAACCCAATGCAACTCGCTTGTACTCATTTTTCCGCGCTTCGCACCAGCTACATTTTTTATTACGAGTTTTGATTGGTTCATTGGATTCCGTGTGTCCTTTCTGATTGGCTAGGGTGATTACTTTGGTTTTTGTTTTACTAAGAAAAACATTCAACATTTCACTTTTTCTAACATTTCATTTTTTTCTAACTCACCGCGGCTGCTTTCTGTCCAGTTGTCATAAATTGTTCATACCAGCGAACCACCACATAAGGAAGATAGGTGACAAAGAAGAAGATACCTCCACAAGCGGCAGCAACGTTTGCTCGCGCAAAAAACACAGAGATCAAGAAACACAGCATGATGGTAGCGGTCATGAACACAAGCAAGAAAAGGAAAATGACGATTGGGTTGCTGTGCCACAGAATCTTTCCACCTTTCAGGACAGCAACAAGCAACGAGATTGTGATGACCATCAGGGCAGAGCTGTTGATAAACCACGCAACCCAATGCACTGCATTACCAAGGCCCATGACCTAGAAATTGGAAGAAAATCACAAATCATTTCTTCATCGTGATGAATTGATGAACCTCAATATTTCTGAACTTCAAACCAAGCTCAAAATGTAATGGAAAATTGAACATTGTTCACTGACTTGATTTTGCAATTTCCCCCCTCAATATAGCAAGGATTGTAATCACGCAATAATGCAAATATGCGTAATGTCAAAGGTGTGAAAATATTGTGAGTAGCATAAGTAATCTAATTATATTACAAACTGTGTTGACAGTGCAAGTAGTGTAAGTATTATTATGTCTCTAAGTTANGGCTCAGCGATGGTTTCGTTCAGCATAAGGTTCATCAAGGCTCGGTCAATAAGGTCTTGAAGGTACAGGAACCCAAAATTAAAGTATCCTTGATAACTCCACCAGTGTAAAGGGCCTGGGCGCCAGTACCTGCAGAAATGCAACGTTGGTTAACTATTAGACTGAGACTAATCAAATCTACGACTAATTTAAACTAATTAAACACTTTATGATTTATCGATGATATTTTTCTACCCTCTCAAAGAAAAAACTTTGTACAGCTCTTTAATCTGTGCAAATAGAGCATTGCCTCCCTCTGCGACTTTGACACTTGTGTACAGCTGTTTCCAGAAAGGTAGTGCTAAAAAAGCACTAAAAAAGGCCCACGCGACAACGCTAAAAGGAACTATAGGTAGCTTAACCTTACTCTTAGAAGGCGCGCTGGCCTCATGGTTTGCGCGCTCGTCCGCTCGTCCGTCCGAGCAGTCCGTGTTCGAGCCCTGGCCGGGGACATTGTGTTGTGTTCTTGGGAAAGACACTTTACTCTCACAGTGCCTCTCTCCACCCAGGTGTATAAATGGGTACCACAAACTTAATGCTGGGGGTAACCCTTGATGGATTAGCATCCCATCCAGGGGGTTGTAGAAATACTCCTAGTCGCTTCATGCTACAGAAACCGGGAAAAGCTCCGGCCTGATGAGCCACTTGGTTCGTATGCAGACGTAACCTTTACCATAATACCTTTTGACATTGTCGCGTTCCCACTTACAGGACCAGCTTTCTCAACACAGCTGAACGCTTGAATAAATTTATATATGTCTACTTACCACTTCCGTATTCTATCAGTTCGAGGCGTGTAATCCACATCTTGTCGTATCTTGTACTTGACAAACTTTGGAACGTCGGTCAAGTCACCCGATGAATACTCAAATACTAAGCCTGCGTGTTGAGAAAAAACATTCATCTATGGTTATGCACAACTTCAAAACATTCCCCAGCATTTAGTTACATAGTGCTCGTGCTTTCTATTTAAAGAACAAGGCGTAAATACATGGTTGCCACAGACATTACAAATCAAAATTCCCTGACTTTTACTGATAAAAAAACAATTTCGCTGACCAAATACAAAATGTCAGATCTAGCAGCGGCTTCTGGCGTGAACTTACAGCCATCCATTCCACTCGTTCATTAAGACTGATGAGTTTTCAACAAATTTTCCTTCTTCATTGAAGAAGAACTTCGTTAAGATCACAGTGACCCCAAATGTTTCTTCCACTTTGAATGGTATCGAATCAGCCATGTTAAATTAATTGAATTTCCCGGACTTTTCTTCGAAATATCAATTTTCACTGACTCAAGATAAAATTCCATCTCTGACCATTTCCTGACTTGTGGCAGCCCTGAGCGTTTGCCACGCTTACATTGTAGTGATTGAAGGTGAAAGATCTTTTGCAACGATAACCAAAACACAAAATTTTAATGTGTTGTAGATAGTGAGTAGCTTAGCAGTGTGCGGTTAACAAAATGATGGCCGTTTCTTTGCGTTTTCGGAGTGTTTGTGAGGAGGATTTAGATGAAGCTTGAACGACTAGTAGATTTATACTAAAACAATTAGATTATTCGCTCTCGATTTCTATGCGTGATAGCTGACTTGGGCTGCGCCCTCGTCAACTATCNTGAACGACTAGTAGATTTATACTAAAACAATTAGATTATTCGCTCTCGATTTCTATGCGTGATAGCTGACTTGGGCTGCGCCCTCGTCAACTATCACGCGATAGAGACAAAAGGGTACGTCAAAAGCGACCATTAAAAACTATTTACTTACTTGCAATTGTTGGTACCTCCGACGTGTTCATGGCCCGTTTCACAAGAGACTCCTCATCCTTGTAGCCCTCAAAATACTCGTGCTCCGTACATGTATAAATTCGGAGAATTGTTTGAAACAGGAAGTCAAGGTTACTCAGCAAGGCACTGGTGTTGAATGAAGGAGGAAGAATCGAGATATTTCTGCGGGAAGAATTAAATGATACCTCTGGCACTCGATCGGGCCACCTTTGATTTGCGTCATCAAAGAAGAGATCCGCTTGATCACAGACTCCCTAAAATAGACGAACACAACCAAAAATTGAGATAGTGCTAAATGTAAACAACACATCAGTTAATTAAAGAATATAACAATAAAAGTTCACAGAGAGTTAACGTTCTGTGAACAATAAGCACTTTGTCTAAGATTGAGCTTAAAATAAAGCAAATTATTTGACACTGGTAAATATGGCATCCCCTTTGGAAAAACTAGCCGTTCACTTATTTTCTGAGGATTAACTAACTGCTCTGGGGATCGACTTTAACATTCCGACTATGATAGACTACACAGTCACATGAGGTAGAGGGCATTCCCTCGTTTCTGTCGAGTTATATGGCTACACAAGTGAAAGATTGGAGGAACGAGAAATGCAGTAGAAACACTAGCCTGCTACGCGGACGATCTTTGGGCTTGTCACGCAATCTTCCTCCCCCAGATTGCGTGACAAGCCCAAAGAGCGTCTGCGTACACAAAAGAGGTTATAGGAAAACGAGCCGCACGCGACTGCTTCTAAAGCTTTTTCAACTTCTGCTAAACTTCCACCAGCTGAAGACGCTTTCCGAAGAACTTTCTGAGTTGAAAGAGGTCCTTGCATATTTGAACTCCTCGGCCAGCTCACTGTACACTCACTGTGTCCATGTCGGCTTCACGCACACCTACCCGTGCTATTGAAACCATTCCTTCAACAATATTTTCTTGCTCAGTGAGCGGAGCTCACAATACCATGTCTACATACGACGCTATTTCATCCCAATCTCTTAAAGGCAAGATAAAGTCTTTGAAAACATTTAACCAATGTAAAAAAAGTTATCAACATTGTAATACCTCAGGCAATGGTCTCTTGAGGTAGTTATCAACATATTCTGTGATTCTCTTGTGGTTCGCTTCTGAGTTATTCACCCACCAGTATGCAAAGTCTTTTATTCGTGTGATACCAGACAGCTCATTCTTGATCTACGGAGACGAAGAGGAACAAAAAGCTTCAAATACAACAAGAACTTGCGTTCAGAGGCAGCGTGGCCGAGTGGTTAGGGCGCCGGACTTGAAGTCCGGAGGTCGCGGGTTCAAGTACCGCTCTGACCACTAAGCTAGAGTTGTTTCTCAATAGACCCTAGTTCAACTCCTAAGTCATGCTTGAAAATAGCCAACTGGTCTGCCTTCCGCCAGTTGGGAGTTTTAAACCTATTATGTTTAGTTGATATATTAGTTTCTTTCAAATTAAGTCGCATTCCTGTAAACTCGCTAAGTGCATTGACAACATCAAACAGCAAGACTTGAAGATTTAAGTATTTTTTAACGACATCTAGAGCATTAACAATTTGGTAAAATAAAAAAAACAAACAAAACTCTTCCTGAAACTAACTAATTAGATTACATGTGCGAGGCGAAATTTTAACTGCCAAATGTGAATCTGGAGCTTGACAATTCTCTTAGGCCCCATCCACACTGCGCCAAAGAACTTTGAAAAAGTAGCTTTATTTCTACGGTTCGGCCTACCGTCCACACTAATCCGTCACGAAAACGGAGCTTTTTCTCATTTCCGTTTTTAGGCTCAATTTCTGCCACTCTCAAGGGTCTGGTCTACTAGCGTGGGCTCCTTTCCTGAACAGCGGCTGCTAATGGAGCCTATCCCATTATTTTCAAGTGATATCTTTTAGGGGTCAAATAAAGCTCAAGCCACGCCAACATTGTCTCCTTTAGGGGTTTAATTCAAATTTTCCGACGAGCATTCCCGACCTTCATATATGGGAGACCCCTCAGGAAATTTATATTCATTCCAGGTTAGGCTTTTAAAGCCTAGGTGAGGTCAGTTTTTGTACCACAATTGCTATGTTACCAAAAAGCGTCAAGCTATAAACAGTAAAAGCATGCATAGCGTGACTCACCTGGCTGACAATGTAGCGAGTGACATTGTTGTCAGGAGTGTACAGAATCTTGCCTTTCAGGAACAACGAAGCGAGTTCAACAAATCCTGAATCCCTCCTGCCTTGACCAGCATTTCCAGTTACACCTCCGGCGGTGCGCACAATCTGGCCCAGGAAACAGTTACATACTGCATACTCTGCAAACAAACCAACAATACTGGTTAGGATTTTTTCAGACTACAGTCGAACCTCCACTAACGGCAACCTCTTCTCTATAGCGGCCCCTTTTTTTCTGTCCCGGCGAACGGTCCAGACATTCACTGCTATTTTAATCCGGCTCTCTACCCTAGCCACCTCTTCAAAACAGCAAAGGCCGCTTAAGTGCGTTCCAACTGCCAAAATAACCTCTCCACAACGGCCAGCTAATCAACGACTAACGAACGGTGTTTGCAAAACCCTATTCTTATTGTAGAAGGTCAAGAAACTTGATCCATACCGCGCGTCCTTGGTCTCTATTTCTATTTGGTTTCTATTTGATTGATATATTTTGATTGTGTTACATATATATGTATATGTTTACAACAAGCATTTTTAAAAGCAAAAATGTTGCACCCCCCGAAAAAAAAAAACAGATGTCATATTACACCCTTGCTTCCCTACAGCAGTCACAATGGCCTCTTTCCTCTACCCCCTAGGTGGCCTTTGTGAAGAATTTCGATAGTAAATACATCCCAATGACCTCGAAAAGCAAAACCTTACCGGGTTTATAGAAACAGAAGCGTGCGCCGTCAACTGAACTGTCAAAACAACAACCCATCTGGACACATTTGTCTTCTGAAATCCCGGGCCAGCCACAATCAACCCTGCTGAGCGGATGGATAACTGAACAGGTGTCTGTAAAGAAACAAGACAGTTATAAGCGTACATGAATTCAAAGGAGCTACGTCACGTTTCGAGCATCTTGATAAGACTTTCGCCGTTTGTAATCCGAGTTAATCTTCTCCATCCGTTACCATCCTTGTTCCTTTATGTTTTTTGTTTCTTCTTTGGTGTTTTTCCTGTTTTTCTATCTCGGTAAACTACTATTTTCAGGCTTCCTTCAATTTAAATGTAATTGTTTACGTGGCCAAAATAACTCAAAATACTGTGGTTGATATTGGGTATTGTTACCGTGATACATGTACATGTAGACACAAACCTTGTCTACCAGTGACATTGTACTTGGAATATTCAACAGCAAGCTTGGGGCAGTTCTCATCATTATGTTTCTCCTTGTTATCTTTTCCTTCCTCACTGTCATCCCCGGCCAAGTTCATGTTCTGCGTCATATTCCAATAGTAGTCAAGGGGGTGGGACCCTGCAGACTTATAAAATGTACCATTTGGATAGCGCGAGTACCCGCACAGACCAGCCAGCAAACCAGCAGAAGCTGCGGGCAACACTCCATTAGATGTACCCCCATTTCCATTGTTTTGATCGTCGTTGTCGTCATCACTCGATTTTCTCCCACAAAGTGTTGCTTGGAAACCACCGGCCTGCATATCTTGCATAACACTAAGATAGTCCTCTGTGACTTGCTGGAAAGCTTGTAAGGCTTGGACCTGAAATAAAAGCAAGCAACATTCAGTTATTATTATCCAGTAGGCTAATGACGCTTAGTTTTGTAAAATAATATGAATGACGTTGTTTTCAGTTGATATATTACAAAATATTTCAACTTTTCTGCACTCCATGTGTATTCATTTGATAAAATGCATTTTTGGCCTTCCTTTCTTACAGAGTCTTACTCTCTCCAGTTTCGCTTGCATCAAGAGACCAAGATGGCGGCCCGTTGAGCTCAACTATCGGCATCTACGATCTCACGGAAAAATAGGGGACTGTGAACAGTCTGATAGTGCTCCTCCCCTACCCCTCTAATGGGGCCTCATCTTTGTTTGAAATGATCACTCACCTCTTCAAGCTGAAAACTTTACTTAAGTAAATTTTTTTGTTATGTGAGATCCATGTTTTAGTATATTGCTTGTATCAAGCTATGCTACTACATGAAAGACCATTAATTATATGTCTGATCAATAAAGGAGAGGGGTGAATAGGGGTATGCAAATCCGCCGATCCGTGTCTTCTTTTCACCAAATCCGTCGACCCGCCAACATTTTTGTTCAAATCCAAAACCACAACCACATCCAGAAACAGAAGTGTTAAAGTTCAAAGGTAAGCTGGTAAATGTGAATGCCATTGTTAATTTCGCACAAATAGTTAAGCGAAGGCAACATGCTTGATGACTATAACACGGTACAATTCCAATAACAGTCTCGCACCTGAGTTTAAATGAGCTTCGTTCAAAAAAAGATTGAAATAATTTGGATGACCTCATTAACATGCCGACCAAGGCTGAAGAAAGATCTATGATCCAAATTTCGTGTAGGACCCAAGGTCCAAACATCAAGACAGAAACACTCCAGAATCCACGCCAAAATTCACAGCTGATCCACGATCCACTGTGTTTTCAAAATCCTCGAATCCGCTCAATTTACCACAAAAATCCACAATCCGTGCGCTTTTTAAGGCGAAATCTGTTGATCCGAAAACCTATTCACCCCCCTCATAAAGGAGACCTTACACATCTGGTTTTCCTACTTGTAATAAATTAGAAATTATTTTGTTTTTGTCTCACTACAGAGTGAATAGACAACAATACGTTATAAGTGTAACAAACAAGAACTTACATCTTCATTCAGATTTCTGACATCATCCTGCAAGGATCTTAGCAGCTTTGACAAATTCCTTTGGTGACCCTGATAAGAGACATAGCAACAACCATGATTTACTTGTTCATGACTGACAATCAGATGCTACTAATCACAAATTTGCTTCAGGGGTACATTTCATATACATATGCATGGAGAACATTGTTCAATTCTTCAACATCTCCAGGTTTAGCTAGGTAGTATGATCATACTATGCACACTTAAGCAAAGTCGCTCATGATTAGTCTGAATTGTAAAATATGTAAAATATAAAATACAAATTCCTTTAGTACATCTTCAGTTATCAATATAACTGGAGATGGACAAGAGACTGAATTCAATTTGAAAATATAAAATCTAAGTACTGCATGTGTGTTCTTACACTGATACATGTCCCAAATAATGACTTAACCATTTGGTGCAAAAGTTATCTACCCACAGATGTTTTGGTAGACATAACATGTACCTGGATATTCATCTCATGTAACATGTACAGTGGAACCTTGCCTTACAGTCACCCTGTAAATTCAGCCACCTCATTATTACAGCCACTTTATTCTGGCTCGAACAAAAGCTCAGTCAGTCATTTTCTTATTCATAGATTGAATGCCTTTAATACAGCTACTATTAATGCGGCAAGATTATTGTAGCCAATTGGTGACCGGATTAACGCGGTTCTACTGTAACACCAATCATGTGCATGAAAAAAAAAAAACAGATTTAAAAGTCTTATGTCATGATTTAAAATATAATTATGCTGGGGGAGGGAGGGAGGGGATATGTGTTACCTGATAGTCAGTGATGTTTGGCCACTTAATCTGAGTTTGAAGTTCCTTTCCAAGTTCACCAAGTACAGTATCGTTTAGCTTACACAAAGCTGTCTTCACCTCAGTCTGCAATGTTCAAATAGGTACAAGAAGGGCGATTAGTTCCTTACATGTCGTCACTCATCTGGGTGATGTTGGCACTGGTAGTAATGTTGAATGTGGTAGACATGAATGTTGTATGACTGAGGTTGCTGTACAACTGTAAAAATGCTGAGTAACTTCATATAATTGACTTACTGCAAACAACAAAACCTCTTTTATATAAATAGGAGTCTTCTGGGTTACATACCACATTTCCAGGGCCATTGAGGATTTCTTGAAGATTGACAGGTGATCGAGAATCACAGATGATAAACTTCACTTCACTGCCACTAATTGTTCCTTGTGACTTTAATTTAATAACATTGTTAACAAAAGGAATAATTATATTAATTCAAGAAAATAACTTAGTCTATTAATAATTTTGTCATGAACAACTTCAAAAAGTAGCAAAATAATATGAAGAGGTATGGAATACCTACATCAAAACAACAAAAAAGTTAAATGCATGACTTGCTAACATAAAGCTTGGTACCAAATTTCAAGATGATATGTAATCATGTGCACCTGAAAGATATGTCACAGTACAGCAGAATCACAGTGACCTGCAAATGTTGACTGTTCTTTTCGAAGTTTTGTATTTTCTTTCCAGTAATATCAGTTCTAAGTAACTTACTATTTACTAAACTTGACTATTTGTTCTAAACATTCCACAAATTATATTTTTCTCAACTCATTAAGACATATACCTGGATTGTGCTTGCTATTCTCATCAGAAGCAAACTCCAGAACAAATTCACTTGTTGATTGTTGCTTGATGATAGTAGTGGTAGATTTCCTATTTCCAGTGGATTTCTTGGAAACCAGGACAATGATTCTTGTGATAAACTCCGATATGGCTCAACTAATCCTGCAATCTGCCAAAGAGAATCAACTAGAGCTAAATGGCTATGTTCAAACATGTTATACACTCAGTGTGTACCACTTGCAGACTGCAGACTGCTGACTACATTAATTCATAGGCCTCAGTAAATAGCACTCTGGTTAGCCTGAATATCACTCACTAACAGGGGTAAGCATGTTTAAGGTTAGCTCTCCGTTCTACCAGCGTGGGCTCCTTTCCTGAACAGCAGTTGGTAATCGAGCCAATTCTGTTTAAAGCAGGACTTCTGAAATTTTGCGCAGCTGCGGAGTCACGAATTTCAAGCAAGTCCGCAAAATCCCACAAACTTCACAAAAACACGCAAAATACTGCGAAAGTCGCAAGAAATTTTACCAAATACATTTTTGCACAACATATTTGAAATTTATCTTGGCTGTTGGGGCTGTTTACAAGCCATAAACTTGCAAATTTATTGTGAGACTTCATCACTGCTACGAATAAACAACATCCCAAAACTACCTGGAGGCATTTTTTTAAGTAATGTTGTGAAAAACTGTCTGCCATTTTTTTTCCCGCGAATTTGTCTCTGAAAATCCCTCGAAATTTGACTTTTTTCCTCAACCTATCAGAAGCCCTGTTTAAGTGATATCTTTTAGGGGTCAAGTAAAGCCTGAGCTATGCCCACAATGGCCTCCTTTAGAGGTTTAATTCAAATTTTCTGATGAGCATCCTGAACCTTTTCACGTGGGAGTCCCCCCACCCTGGAAATTCTGCACAAAGAGATCCATGCATAGTTAAGCAAGGCATTTGATTGAATGTAATTTTCTATCAGGTTTAGCAAATTATCCACTGTCTATTGGCAAAAATTCTGAAAATCTTATTGGCTGTGCAGACACCTACCGCAGACCCACATGACTGTGTAGATAAGGCCTTCATAGCAAGCATGTGAAGAGAACCTTTACAGTAACATACATATGTACATGTATCTGTACCCACCTTTTGTACATTCACTGTGCTGTTAAAAAGCTCAGCTACAACCCTAGGGCTAAGCTTTGTGGTCTTGTACAGAAATTCCTGAAACTGAGCAGGATCCTTCAACAACTTATCCAAAGGGACAGCTGCAAAAATAACAAAAATAACATTATATTAATTTAATCATTTACATGTAATGCTTTGTGTGTATGATCATGACACTACTCCAACTGGTATAAACCTTCCTCCCCTGGAGCAAAGGCTAGTCATTGCAGGTTACTTGTTGCACTGGGTCTGGTTACCCCTTGGCTACAATCTGCCGACACCCATTTAAACTCTTATACTGTATGTGATTAGATGTATCTTTGCATGGATACAAACATGCACAACATACACAGACTGTAATTGTTTTACTGGCTAAAAGGAAGGACCTGGATCCCAACACCTATTTTCTCACACACTGCTGGGAGCCATGCCAAGCCGAACCACACAGCCTGACCTTTACTAACATAAGAACATACTTGTCTTACAATGACACAAAAAAATGTCTAGAGAATAATTTCACCTCAACTTAACACATTCTGCAAGTACTTCATGGGTGTGAAGGTGGGGCATGTCAGGCAATGGCAGATGGCAAAACAAAAACTGAAACTTTACACAAGCCACGTGACCTGAAAACCCCCACACACATGTACCCAGACTCCCAGCTGTGTGTGAGAAAAACGTTTTCCCCTTCTTTCGTTCCTCAGCCAACGGAAAACCACACCTATGAGAACAACCAAGTCATCCACACAGTGGACTACTAGGAGACCCTTTTTTGTAGGAGTCATTGTGGTGTAATATAATGCCAGACTTAAGTGTTGTCTCCGGAATTAATCATAATTACTTATCAGAAGAGCAAACTGATCAGCATGGCAGTCTGATGTACCTACTGGCGTGAGGAGCAATAATGATGGTGATGATGATGATGATGATGATGATGACGGCGACGACGACGACAATGAAGATGATGATGACAGCAAAATGTACATTACAGTAATTTAATCAAGACTTGGCAAATTAGATAATCTCTTACGACAAATCTCTGAAAATGTACCTGATAAATTATATCCATTCCACTGTACTGGCCTCGAAGAATTATTCATCAAATCATTCCAAAGTTTTGAATCTGCCGTGAACCTTCTGTAATCTTCATTGATTCTTAAAAGCCGTTCCTGGAGGCTGGTGTTTGTTAAAAGAGGGAGGGCATCTTCAAATAGTCTACTTAAACTGTAGATTAAATAAAAAAATCAGCGTTAAAACTTTAAATAACCAACAGTTTGATACATTTGTACATTGACTGTTTAATCTACCTGATAATACCTGGCTATATTAAGATCTAGATAAGTTAAAATTATACAGATGCACCCAGATGGATGGGTGAATGGATGGGTGAATGGATGGGGTCTAGACCGACCGACCGACCGACCGCCTGACTGCCTGACTGAGTAACTAACATACTGACAGTGTAACTTGCAGATGGACAGATGGAAAGACCAACTGAATTTTCTCCCCCAACTAGTTATTTTCCTCCATAAGGAACAAACAAATGAACTTTTCTTTGGTTTAATGTTCTTCACTATTCAATTTGGCTTCAGCTACCATAAGCTTTTTAATAAGTACTGCAAACATCAGTACTTATTAAAAAGCTAATTGCCAGATAACACAGAACACGTTTTAGCATGTAGGAATGTTGACAGATACGACTGTTTAGTGCAATGTTGGAACAATGTTCTGAGCCTTGTGGTATGAACAATGTACCTGGAACTCCTTAGATCTGGCAATCCATTCAGTATCTCACTGGGATCATTTGTCTTTGTGCTTTTGAAGTCGCACAAAAAAGACCTTGCAAATGGAAAAAGCCCAGCAGATGGGAGGGCACGTGGCCGATATATACCTAAAAAAATACAGATAAAAAAACAAGTGAGGATGTTTGGTCCCATTGTTTCTACGCATCTTTGCTGTGCAACATAATTCATGTAACAACATGCCGCGTCATACCTCTTGAAAGCGCAAGCTAAAGAAGTATAAGCAAGTACATAGGGCTTGATACTGGTTGCATTAATTTCACCTGCAGTTTAATATGAGACCCCCTCTTTTTTTTCCTATTTTTGAATGTAGATGGAACAGACTACATGCAATATGACAAGGTTAATGTACATTACTAATACATAATTCTTTCTCAAGGCCTTAATTCTAACTCAAGGAACAACATCTCCTAACAGACTTAGTTGTGTTAAATCGAGCATGTTTTTCCTGATCTCCATATAAATTTCACTAAAATGCAGCTTCTATTATTGCTGATCAATACTGTGGCAGTAAGCTAAGATCATCTTAAAATAAAAAAAATAAAAATACATGGTCTTCAAAACAAGAACAGTAAACACCCCCATCCCCTATTTTTTCTTTGTAGGAAAGTTAAGTTCATCTTTATCTTACTGCATGGCATTTTTAAAAAAAAACTCTGTGTGGGAACATTTTGGGTGCAAACATCCTAATGTAAACATAATTATTTTTTTTAAAAAATGCATGACAATGTCATGAATTTTCATTCAAATTAGGCAGGCTCAGGTTTTCTACTTACTGGCAGGAATATTTGTGGCACCATAATTTTGACGATTTCGTACAGCAACCAGAATTATGAAAAGAACTAATGGCCACACTATTTCCACAACATTTCTTAGCTGAAATAAACAAAGAGCCAGTTAGTGCACCAGCATAATAAGTCAGTGGTAGGTAGGTAAAGTCTGCATACAAACCAAGTGGTCCCATCAGTGTGGAGCTTATCCCAGTTTCTGCAGCATGAAGTGACCTAGCATTTTTAGTCCCCCCCCTCTGAATGGGATGCTAGTCCATCGCAGGGTTACCCCCCAGGATTAAGTTCATTGACCAGTACCCAACTTTCCACACCTGGGTGGAGAGAGGCAGGGTTCATGAGAGTTAAGTGTTTTGCCCAGAAGACAACACAATGTCCCTGGCCAGGGCTTGAACCCGGACTGCTCAATCCGGAGATGAGCACACTAACCATGAGGCCACCGAGCCTCCCTAATATGTAAGTGATGACTAAACAGATTTATTGGACATTGGACTGAAATGTGTGAGTGTGTGATGTACGTGAAACTGAACAACAAGACTCCTGTAAAGCAAAATTATCTAGTAATCTTATCATTAGCATAAAATTGCCAAAATTCAATAAATTTTAAATAGATCTGTACTGCACAAGAGCTTGCAAACTCATCCACTGCCTGAATAAATGTATTTAATATTTATTTTTAACTGCTCAGGGGANAAATATTGTGAGCAAAAGGAAGGAAAATTGTCAATTGACTGTGATTATGAAAATGTAAATTATCTTTTAATGGCCTCGACAGCTTGCACTAGGTTTAAAAGTTCTGTGTTGCCATAGAGCAACAGGAAAACAGCTTAAAGGGGTACTGTCACCATTTTTAGCATGATTTTGGAAATCTCAAAAACAAATATCGATCACCGGCAATAATGGCTTTATTTTGTAGAGCAGAACTTGAAAAATTAAGAAGTGAGGATGGCTAACGATGGCGAGGATGGAAACAGATTGCGATCTGGATTTTTGAAAAAGCATCAGGATGTCAGTTTTTCAAAGGTTCAAGTTTGGCTCAAAAATCAGTGAAATTTTGCAAAAATGTTGTTGCAGTGTGGACTTCCTTCTAGAAATTGCTTTTAATCATTTAGTTAGAACTAATTAAGTTCTTATAACATAAATTTAGGGACCATTTTGTGAATTTATAACAGTTCTAAGCAAATATATCATGACAATGTCCCTTTAAGTGTGCGCTTTTACAAGGTGTTTTCTAGTTTTACATTCTTAATGTCAATCCTTACATTAACTGGCACAATCTCCATGTGCACCTATCAGAGCTCAGCTTGCAAATCGTAATTAAGCCATAATTCCTACAAGAAACTTGCATTAATATTTAAGTTCATTTTAATTTTGCGATTGATTTAATACAGACTTACACATATAATTTCCAATCAGGCTTTCTATTAATAAAATTATATTGCATGTAGAAATGAGAACGAACATATCAAATCCTTTAAAGCAGCTGGATAATAAAAAAGAACATATGTACAACAAAAGCCTCAAGAAAAATTCACGGAAACACAAACATTCAGAACCATTCTGTTGCAATTTAACATATTTATCCCACAGAGGAGCTGTCTTTCTAAACAGATCAAGGATCTTTGACAAATTTTATCACTCCAAACTTGTTATAACAGCGTGTGAGACAATACACTGAACATGACTGTATACAAATTATCAGATACCAAACACATATGCCATCGATATTATATACACGTAGATGACTTATGCTCAAAACATCTTTGAATGAAATATCAAAAGAGAAATTTTTTTCTTAAGCGGAAGTTGAAATATTAACTACCTCTGATCGAAATTATAGAAAGTAACAAAAATTTAGCAATTAATTTGAAGAAACAACATTAAACAACTGAGGTGTTATAGAAACATTTGATAATCCCTAGACTATCAGAAAGATACAAATTGAAAGCTTAATATAAAACTGAAATTTTCCTTTAAATTTCTTTAGCGAATGCATGGGACTCACTAAAACTTTCAGTCTGAATTTTCACTGTGGACTTAAAAATCGTTCATTCATTTAATGTATGTAAATTTCCCGAGCAAGCTGGTGATGCGTCAAAAATATGTTTCTCAAATCAACACTATCAAGAGATTCACGGAACTTAAAGACTTGAAACCTTCATTTTAACCTTAAGCAATCTTCGATGTTAGTCTCTAAGCAATGGTATAACACACTGGAGTATTAAGTGGGAAAGTTGGATGTCAGTCCTACACTTTTGCACGTCACAAGCACACTAGGGTTACGTCACCGTGCTGTACAAAACATGCAATTTTCGCTGTACATAATAGGGAATTTGTCTCGGTGTTCTGAATTTGACAGAAAATTAAACTTCCCATCAAGAAAATGGCCGATTACGTCGTAAATATATAGCAGAGAGATAACTAGACTCGCAGATTCCGTGCGAAGACTACATTTGAGCTACATTGCTAAATGGAGAGCCAGAACGTGTGGGTCACTTGAGAATTACACGTAAAATAAAGCCGAAAGTTTTAGATTTCTCGGAAGGCTAAAATATCATTGAAAGCTGACTTTGAAACGCGATTTACACCCCCAACAATAGCAGTTTACCTTGTAAATAAATAAATAATTTTGTTAGAAATTTTACGCCGACGTTTTCTTCCAAAACAAGGAACAATTCGCCACAGGTACCAGTGCAATGAGCCCATGGATGCAAACCGCGCCAGCTGCTCCAAAAAAACAAAGTTAAAGCAAGCTGTCGAGACAATTTCCTCTCCCGAGAAAATGCACCAAAGATGGCTATTAAATCATCAACCTACAAAAACTACACATGTAATGAATTTAAAACTAATTTGTCTTCTCACATGTTGTCGTTTTCGAAGCGTAAAGTTCTTCCATAAAAGCAATTTCAGTTGGTCAAAGAACTTCATAGTCGAACAGAATCGAAGGCGATTCTAGCTTCCTTCAGCCTAAGGAATGATAAACCACACAGTTATTTGACAATTTCTAGAAATGAAAGTGAAATGACACGAAAGCGAAACTGAAAATTCACATTTCCTCACCGGCGTAGAAAGCGGTAAACGGGTTTGCGTTACAGTCTTCTTCGACGCTATAAAATTTCCTCTCTCATATCATGAACGCCGTTTCCTTGAGATTTTTGATCCGCAGGCGCCCAAAATTCTTTCTCTCAAGCAGAGGTTCCAAAAAGTACCACGATTCTTGTGAAAGAAAGCGCTTCCTCTTGCCTTCTCCTCTGATGTGAACGAGAATACTCTTTTTTCCTGTTGTCGAACAAGGATCTTTATCAGAGTTCCATCAGGGTACTTGTTTACCTGGAGGAGGAGAGGACTGGGTAAATTGCTATGTCATCTTTTCCGACGAGAAACCGAATTGAGATAACAGAGAAAATACAGTGACGTCATTGTTCGTCAAACTTCGGTAAACAGTCGTCAGAGCTCGGATAATGTTTGCCTTTATCGTCTCCAGTGCACTGGCTCCATTTGCCTTGCGCCTCGCATTTTTTAGATGAAAAAGAAAACAGGTGAATTGATTGTTCGTTCGGATTTTCTTTGTTTTTGTTGTTGAATAGAGTTTCCAGAAAGGTTTTGCGACAGGAAATTGTCTTAACAATACTTCAAAGGTAAGTTTGCTTAGTTTGTGTCGAAAATTATGCAGTTGAAACGTGATTAAAGGTGAAAAAAAGTCACTCGTTGCTCAAATATTCAAGATTTTTGCCAGTTAATAAGCTTACATATCATTTATTGTTATTCATTCGTATTTTTTGTAAACTACTACAGGAAGGAAAAAAAAGAAAAAAAACGCCATGTCATTAAATATATATCTCTGTCGGTGGCGGTATAACATACGTACATAGCAACTAATTTTGAAAGAATAACTAAGCGCAATGATCATTTGAATTTCATATCACTACAGCTAATAGAAATCTAAAATGCAGGCCCACTCACGTGTGACACACGGCATGGCGGAAAACGTGAGCATTAACTTCGAAAGAAATTACCACAGGCACGAAAATTTTAGCTGCGTTAAAATCATACTATTTTCACTCAGCCCATCAAACTAATGATGTGTTGTTATTACAAATTGTTGTGCTTGTGTTTGTAAGCTGAAATAGCAAGAAGCAATTGAATTTTTTCACTGAATTGATGACCCCTAGGGTGCACAGTTGGTATAAATCTACCACATATAAGATTATGTACATGTATGTAAAATTCACTCATTAATGGAGCTTCTATGGTGATACTCACAATGATTTCATTTCCAATTTCCGTAAATAGCTCATTTTCTGAGCAAACAAAAATCACACGGCAGATTGGAAGACACTGGAAGACATGAATGATGATTGCAGTAATGCACACATATAGTCACTTGCAAATAGGCAGATTTTTCATTCAAACCTCTTTAATCTTTTTAATTGAAAAAGATATTTATATAATATCTGACAGTCCTGACACAGATTTCCTTCTCTTTCGAGCTATGTGCAACTGCTTGATTTCCTATTGTATATGACTACAAAATACATCATCAATGATACTGATCTAATTCAAATTGTCATAAATAGCTCATTTTTTCAGCAAATATAAAAAAAAAGATTTGAAATCACAAATGACCATTGCAGTAATTGTATCCACGTGCAAAGGTAGATTCCTCAACAAACTTCTTTTAAAATCTCTTTCATCAAGAAAGGTAAATTTAAATATCCTGCAGAACAGAGAAGATTTCCTTCTCTTGTTCTATAGGCAGCTCTGTGTGCAGCTGGTTGATTTACTAATAGGAATAAAATACATCATAATTTACATATATGCTTTGTCATAAATATGAAACATCTCACACAATAAAATAATTTCTGCGCTATTCAATTTTTGCAGTGAATTACTAGAATTCCAAATTTTCAACATTAATTTCGTATAATGGCAATTCAAACTGCAGATATTCTGTAAAGTTCCCATAATGCAGCTAGTTAGCTGATTGGGAAAGAGCTAGGGGTGACCAATGATGAAATTCAAGACTCGCCAACATGCTATATACAAGACCCTTGCTTGAAAATCCAAGACTGGGACTTAAAATTAACAATTTTATACAAATGTACTTGGAGATAGATAGAAAGAAAACCAAAGAGATCGGGCGAAAGTTATCTGAAACTCAAGATTTTCTGTTTAAAACCACTTACCAGTCCTACAAAGAGGGAGAGTGAATAGGTTTTCAGATCGACGGATTTGGCCTGAAAAAGCATACAGATAATGGTTTTTTGCCATAAAGCTAGCAGATTCACGAATTCTGAAAACACAGTTGTGGTTTTTGATTTGAACAAAAATATTGTCAGATCGACTGATTTGGCAAAAAAAAAAGGCACGGATTGGCAGATTTGCATACCCCTATTCACTCCCCTCTACAAAGAAACTGGAGTTGTTACTTAAAACAAAACTGACTTAATGCAAACCCATTTGCTCAAAAAACAAGCCTAGGGTAACTTATATGTACACTGTTAATAAGCACTACAGGGTTAATAACCCTACTGGATTGTTAGGGTTACACTCAGGTTACAGTATTTAGAAGTGTGAGATTTAACCAAAGAGCCTTTTATGCCAGCTGGCCAGTGACTCGTTTATATGTAGATCTTGTTATTTACAGACTGAGACAGATCCACCTATTTCAGTTTGTATGGATTGTAACGGCTACACTACATGTATAAGAAGTGTAAGGTGGTTGTTTTCCAATTGAATAATTAAGTTAATGTCTCTATCACAACCGATTGAATGTTATTTACCAGTAATTGCATGTCTGTTTACCATTAATTGCATGTGGGAGGTGCAGTGACCTCATGGTGAGTGCGTTCGACTCTGGAGCGAGTGGTCCGAGTTCAAGCCCTGGCCGGGGACATTTTGTTGTGTTTTTTGGGTAAGACACGTTACTCTCACAGTGCCTCTCTCCACCCAGGTGTATAAATGGTTAGCGGCAAATTTAATGCTGGTGGGTAACCCTGCGATGGACTAGCATCTCATTCAGGAGAGAGTAGAAATACTCCTGTTTGCTTCGTGCAACTGAAAGCGGGATAAGCTGCAGCCTGATGAGTCACTTGGCTCGTATGCAGACTTTCAATTGCATGTCTATATGGATGTCAGTGATAATGTTGCTTGTAATATTATTACATGATTGTATAATTAATTTTTTTTAGACAGAGAGCTGAGTTTTGTGCACTTCACTCCATAGTGTGGGAGAAATTTAGGTACTAGTTGAATCTGCTGTACTTGCATACTAGGTTAAGGTAGCTAAAGTTCTTATGCTATTGTCTTTGATTTGAATTTTTGACTTATTAATGATATTTTTAACTATTATTTGACCCTACTAATTTTGTTGCTTTAATTCATTTTTTCTGCAGCTGAAAAAGAATTACTAAACACAGATCAGGCTTCACATAAAGTGAATTACATTTCGTTTCAATTCGAAACTGTCTCACTAATGGATGCTAGTGAGCATCAAGGATGTTGCAATGGTGATCTACAGGATGGAGATGATGCAGATCAGGGTCATGAACTAAAACCACAACCATTCTGTTATAAGGATTCACAAGTACCAAACAAGAGTCCCATAACACCTGAGAATTGTAATGTTGGTTGTCATGAAAACTGTTGCATTTTGACCACCTCCAATCCAGACACATTAACAAGACACAAGGACCTACATAAGGATTTAGAAAGTCCTGATAGTGTTCAAAATACACATCAAAACAATCACTTGTCGCTGGCAACTCTTCCTCCAGAGCTAATACTTGTGATCTTTTCATACCTTGATGCACGGTTTACTTTACGAGTCTTGACATGTGTATGCAGACTTTTTCATAACCTTCTCTCACCGGAATCTAGCTGGAAGACAAGGTTTGGTAAGCGATGGCCACAGCGAGACAGAAGGGAAGATTATGACTACATATCAAGGTTTGTGTGTTCTCATTACTAATAATGCTCTGGCTGACATTTTTTATCACTTTTAAAATGGATGACCACTTGCATGTACCGGATAATATTGCATTCCAATTGTGGTGGATTAAAGAACCCCTGAGGATATTAACCTCTCTAATCTGTGGCTGCATTGGACATGCATGAGTATGTTTTAAAAACTTGAATATCTGTGGAGTGAAAACAGACATATAAACAATAGCCTCCATTTGGCATGGAAATAAGATATTTGTCCGCAGACACTCTCTGTTCCAAGGAGCAACCAGTTTTTCGAGAGTGTAGCTCAACAAAAACTGTGAGCTTCAAGGAACAGATAATGTCCAAGGAATATCGCTCGGATATGGGGAATCTACCAATCAAGGATTTTGGACTGGGAAATATCACTCAGATATTCCCCAGTTTTAGCTAGCAAATATTTAGTCATGTGACACATTTGAACCTATCACCCATGAATGAATATATTTGATGCATTATAATTGAAAATAGTAAACAGCATTTTTCTTCTTAAATTATATACAGAATTCTTGTTACTGTTTTAAAATGGCTTAGATACTACAGAAGGAAATTTCATCATCATGGTAGCACTTTAATGATGAGACATTTTGCGTATTAATTTGTCTCAGTTGGAAAAGTATATGTGTTCAGCATGAAGACATGGACAAGTTTTGGAATGATCCCAGCTCCACGTTGGATTTTTATCAGCTCAAAGATCAGCATTTTGCAACAGTGGATGCAGTTCATATAATGAAAGGTGGAGACCTGTGCATTTCAGGCTCAAGGGACCGTGCTGTAGGTGTGTGGAGTTTAAATGCCTTGACAGATCCAACCGAGGCAGGCTATTCAAAGAGGTCCTTTAAGCAAGCTCTGGATGGCCACAGGGTTGGTTGCATTTCATTTCATCTCATCTCATTCAACTATTTTCCAAAGTATCTACACGTAAAATTAATCAAAGGTCTTATTAAAATAAAGTAATGTTTTCAGCATGAGGGAAACTGGTTTTAACAGGAAAGGAGAACTTTTTTAAACTGATTGCATGAACTTTTTTATGACAATTTAAACTTTGCTCTGGTGTCCCATCCTCGGAGACCCAGGGGCAGTTAGTGGGGGCGGGGAAAAGTCTAAACGGGCGAAAAAAAAAATGTGCCCAAATTTTTTTCTCGCCCATTTAGACTTTTACTGCCCCCACTAACTGCCCCTGGGTCTCTGAGGATGCTGGTGCCCAGCCCCTAAATAAAACCCCAAATTACTTGTAACTTATTTTCAAATATTTCTCATCGGTCATTGATCTAGTTATTGTAAGAGATTTCTTGTAATAATGTGTGTTCCAGGGGCCCTTCCAACATGTGTGTTTTTTTGGCTTGAACTTGCCTCCACCTCCTCCTCTTCCCCATCCTTCCATCTCTCTTCTTTTAGCTCTTGCACTTTCCTTTGAAGCTTTTGGCTTTTGAGACCCCCTCTCCCCCATTGGAATTTGAAATAACCCTTAGTGGGGTGGGTATAGATATTTTCTGGAACCACACAACTCAATTGATTGTTACATGTAGTGATGATCAACACTTATTCATTAGAGTCGGGATTGGAGAGTGTGGTACTTATTTGCGTTTCTTGTTAGAATATTTCCCCTTTGAGTTCATGTAAGAATATGTAACTCCATTACTTGGCATTCTGCTTTAAATCAAATTTGGATGAATGAATTCAAAAACTAAATTTGAAAATAAATGTAAATTAACATGCTTTGTCTAATAAGTTATCAATGGGGAAAGTTGATACTTCAGGCCTGGTTACTGTAGCTGGGAGGGATTCATTAACATTTTTGAGCAGGTGGGTGACTGTTTTTCACTTGCAAAACCATTTGAACTGAACTTCTTTATAAGAAAATACTTTCTGCAAGATGGTTAAAGATGATTTCCAGTCCATACTACACACTCTTGAGAATTTGTTTGCATTTTTTGTTTTGTTTCATGTAACACATCACAAAATACATGTACACATTTTTCAACTACTTACATGAAGTAAATTCAAAGTTTCAAAACAACCGCCATTATGGATGCAAAGCTTTTTGCTTCGTTCTTTCTCATATCACTTGATGAAACAACTTTGCAGCTGTAAAAATCAATGATTAAGCTGTTGGAAAAAGAATTTGAAAGGCCTCAAAGATAAGGTATATGGTTCGTAACGAATAATATCGATACGCATTCCATTGAGTGAGATTTATAATGTTTATAAACATAAGGGTGCTGAGACTGTGCAGCATGGACTGGAAATCATCTTTAAACCAGGAAGGCAAAATCTTCCTCACAGCTGGTCAACTTACCCAGTGCCCGGCCCTTAATAAAACCCCAGCTATACTGTAGTCAATCGAGGATAATCTTTGATTTCAGGGTTGGGTGTGGTGCCTGTCTAGTGACCCAACAGGAGCTCCCAGAGTGTGTTCAGGGTCATGGGATAGCACAATTAAGCTTTGGGATCTTGAAGGACAAAACATTGAGATGACAACTCTCAGGTATGTTATATTCAATTTTCAATAATATGATTCCAAGTTTGCTTTGTGAGAATCAGAGTATGTCTCCCATATGTCAAATTCTCATTGTTTGTACAAGGAAGCAAAAAGCTATTTTGCTAGGAGAATCTTGCACTCTATCAGATGTCAATTAGGGTCTTATAACATGTAGCTGCTCCTTAATCCAGTGATGCAAAATAATGTATATGATCAAAGCTACAATGCTTTGTATAAGAGGTGATGAAATCCAAGACTCAATGAGAGGCCAAGATCCTTGTTTGACGATCTGAAACTGTGATTATCTTTAGACTCCAAGACAAAAAGAAACCTCTACAGTAAAACAAGACTTTGATACTCATCACAAGAGATGATAGGATTCACAATTTTCTGGGCATCACTCGCCATCCCTTGTATAATGGCTACGTTTATTTAATTAATGACCAACACACGTGAGAGTTTTTCACCTTCATTTTATTTGTTACTTTTGTTAACTTACAGTGTCCATAAAGCAGCAGTATTGTGCATGGCCTGGGAGCATGAGATGCTAATTTCTGGTTCCTACGACAAAACCATTTCATTGTGGGACCTTAGAGGTGATATAGGAAACCCTACTGAAATCACCCATTGAAAGTGCTATTAATGTTATGACTTCACTAAGTAACATTAGTCAATTCATTGAAATAATTAATTAGTCAATTATGTTGACTCACATTTAATTTATCATATTATAAAAACCAATTTAATCTAAGTTTACATCTTTTCTTTCCCACATAGGTGGTAATTCCATCAGCAGGTTAAAAAACCACTCAAAACCAGTGCTGTGCTTGTCTGTTGATGACAGGTTCATTATCAGTGGAAGTGAGGATCAAACTCTCTCAGTGTATGATAGAAGAGCTGCTCAAGTTTATAAAACAGTTAAGGTAAAAGGCCTAGCCACTGACAGAATTAATCAACGTACTTGAGTGTCCAAAATTGGATCATGTTTACTAAGGGCATCTGCAGTCAAGTGTCGATGAATACTCTTGATTGGCCCTCAACACAAAAATTTATTTACAAGAGGAGGCGTAATGGGTGGCTACTGCATAAAATTATGGGTACTCAGGGAGTGCATCCCAGACCCATGAGACCTATAACCTAGATAATGCTTGCCATTTTAAAAGGGCCGTTTCTTTCAGGCAGGTCATTACTTTTGGGGGGACTGTTACTTTCAGGGTTTAATTGGAAGGTAAAAAAGTCATGTTACTTTTGCGGAGCTGTTGTTTTCAGGGTGTGGTGGGGGCGTGGTATTCTACAGATCAGGGTGACTATAATACAGCTCGGACTCTTCCCACGTCTGATTCTATTAATTTAATTGTGAATGTTATTCTCTGTGGAAATAAAAATATTAAATGTTTTCCATTATAATATGAATTTGCAGCTTGAGAGCCCTGTCTTCAGCTTGTGCCATAGTTCCACATGTGGCTACAACTACCTCAGAGCTGGAGGGAGGGAAGGTTGCTTGTATCTATTGGACACCACTGGTGATAAATTTGAAGAAATAACAGTGAGTATTACCTTTAATATATTTCATCACTTAACAAATGTAGCGCACATGTAAGTAGGGGTGGCAAATGGTCCTTAAAAAACAATGGGTTTCCCAAAATTTTTGTCAAGTTTTGCGAGTCTCGCAGTCTTGATTTTATGCAAGGCTAAGAAAGTCCCATAGTACCAATTTGTTTGAGTGTTTTCTTTTTTTATGTCTGAACGTCTCAGAACCCAAACATCTCAAACTTGCATTTAAAACACTTTGAAACATTGGTCTCACAATTTAAGAAGTTAAAATGTCTTGGGCTTGCAAAGAAAAACACTAGTTTCAGGCACCTTCTCGCAAAGCCTTGCATTCACCACTCACCACCTCTGTAAGTTCATAAGATACTAAGTACTGCTGACAATATATATATAGAGTAG